CAGGGCACAAGGCAGGGAACAACCCAGGATGGGGCGCCAACCCATCACAGGGCACAAGGCAGGGAACAACCCAGGATGGGACGCCAACCCATCACAGGGCACAGTCACACACCTATGGCCAATATGGAGACCAGTTAACTTCAGCATGTTTTTGGACTGTGGGGGGAATCCAGAGTACGCAGAGAAAACCCCACGACGGCATGGGGAGAACATGCAAACTCCACACACACATGGAGCCATGGTGGGGACTCGAACCCTGACGAGGCAACAGTGCTAACCTCTACATCACAGCGCTGCCTCTTCTCACAGGGGATGCTTTTTACGGTGAACTGTGCAATCCACAAGTTTTGCTTGTTTCTTTTTCGTCAGTTTTATCAAAGACAAATTACAAGTCAACTGCGGCAAACTGCAAAGCCCCCCCCCCCCCCGGGGACTCAAACATTGAGGCTATTTGCCAAAACCATAGCAATTAGCACCCAGTAACTTTTCCCATTTGCAGGGCTGGTTTGTTGATTAGCTATTGTTACACCGGCATAGAAAGTCATTAGAAAGGATGAGTACATGCTTTTACAACACCGCTAATGAAAAGCAGGTAATACCTCACTGAATTGTCACAGTGTATATAATTTGGCTATAATAACGTGGGCACACACACAGGCCAAAAGACCAATAACCCTTCCATACACGATACACAAAAACAAAGAATGACTGTACAGTATCTGCTCATGAAAAACTATCACATGAATAAAAACTGAATATAAAGCACATGAATCAAACCCACAGGTGAATTAAATTAACCAGCAACTTGATATAATTACTTGTTTACAATTTATCTTGAATGAAAAAAAAGATAAGAGGGCTGGTTTGTCCATGTGAGCAGCCATGCAGGTAGTAGAAGAACATCACATGAGTCCAAAATAGCAAGAACGTGTCGGACATTTCAGAAGAGGAGAGATTGAATAGCCCATTTTGGTATTTCCCTCCCCCCCCAGGCACATTAAGAAAGGCTTAGACACAATCTAATGTGTTCCTGCTCCCATTCAGCTGGGTCACCTGATGTTCAGCTACTGTTACTGTTTACATTAATCTTAATTCGCAGTGTGAGCAGCATCTTACGTTGTTGCTTGAACCCCATGGCTGTAGATGTACACTATTGAGGTATCTAGGAAACAGCTGCATCAACGGGTTATATAGCTAAACGGAATGTTCTTTAATTTTCTTGAGCTCTAAATTTGTTGGAAACTAATAAGGCAGTTTGAAGAAAACCACAGTCGCATCCACCAATCAGCCATGGCATTAAAACCACCTGCCTAATTTTGTGTAGATCCCCCTCGTGCTGTAAAAACAGCTCTGACCTGTGAAGGCATGGACTCTACAAGACCATTGGAGGTGTCCTGTGGTATCTGGCACCAAGACATTAGCAGCAGATCCTGTGAGTCCTGTAAGTTGTGAGATGGGGTCTCCATGGATCGGACTTGTTTGAACATCACATCTCACAGATTCTCAATCGGATTGAGATCCGGGGAATCTGGAGGCTAAATCAACACCTTGATCTCTTTTGCATGTTCCTCAAACCCATTCCTGAACAGAATGCACTATCCTGCTTAAAGAGGCCACTGCCATTGGGGAATACTGTTGCCATGAAGAGGTGTAGTTGGTCTGCAACAATGTTTAGGTAGGTGGTAGGTGTCAAACTGACATCCACATGAATGCCAGGACCCAAGGTTTCCCAGAACATTGCCCAGAGCATCACTCTGCCTCCGCTGGCTTGCCTTCTTCCCACAAGACCTGCCATTTCAGAGATGCTCAGACCTAGTTGTCCTTATCCAGATCCTTATACTTGCCCAATCTTCCTGCTTCTAACATATCAATGTTATTCACTTCACCTCCCAGTGGTTTTAATATTATGGCTGATTGCTGTGTTCTTTACTAAACAATTCTAGGTGTTACTGCAAATAAAATGCTGAGACGGACCTCCGAAGTCAGCATCAAACTGCCCCATGGTAAATAGTAAATACCAACTCAACAGTGACAGTATGCAGATTGGTCTTATGGAACTTCCTTGCCTATAGAAATGTTTCTCTCTCCAAAGTGACCCTGTGTGTAAAGGCAGTTCAGCAGGGGGTCCCCTTGTGCTCGTCAGAGCACAGAGAAAAAATCCACCAGCCTCTACTGAGCTTTCCCAGTCCGTGGCACAAGGTCAGTGTCATGCAGCGTTTCAGAGGTTACTCCTGTTACTGGCTTTGGTGCTTGTGGGCCGTCCGTCTCCACGCTGTCACGGCAACATCTGCCGCACAGTCTCACATCGCCGCTGTTGGCCTGACAGTCTGAGGGGGGCCGGTGGGGCGCGGTCGCCGGTGGGGCGCGGTCGCCGTTGGGGCGCGGTCGCCGGTGTGGCGCGGTCGCCGGTAGGACGCGGTCGCCGTTGGGGCGCGGTCGCCGTTGGGGCGCGGTCGCCGTTGGGGCGCGGTCGCCGTTGGGGCGCGTTCGCCGTGCTGTGATCTCGCCATCTGCCTACACAACTCGTGACGCTCTATCAGCATTCGCGTTTCGCAAAATAGAACTTTAACATAATGCTTAAAAGAAGAGCAATAACAATATTGGTTAACCATAGCTCCGTTTGGGAAGATTGTAGACTTTAAAGTAGACTTTTCTGTTGAGATGTGCTTGTGGATGTGATGTGTGGGCCAGAATTATCACAGTTATGACAAATATAATATAAATGACATATAATAACAATTAAGAATTGTTATAATAACTATTTAGATCTGATGACTAGTGTCCGAGGTGAAGAGGCTCTGATCCCTCACAAGGGACCCCCTATAGGACAGAAAATATTAGGGGTCCTTAAGATCACCATCTTGACAACTTTTGCCAACCCCCCCCCCCCCCGAAGACCTCTGACATAATTTGGTCACTGTTGATAACCCATGAGGTACGGCTGTTCTGTAGACCATTGACTGTCCTTCTTTTGCTTTATGTGGTGCTTCACATTGAATTAAACAGAAGGGTGATTGACAGTGAAAGGTGATTCTACCCCCTGCGATGTGCAAAGCCTTGCTAGACCCAAAGACTGACTGAAAGCCTGTGAAAGTGAAGCACTTTATTCCTTAAGTTTCCTTAAAAATTCTACAGTTTAATCCTTTCGCCCTGGCACCCTGCCCCCCCCCCCCCACACTGATGTGTCTCCTTACCCCATCCCACTGTAGGCATGAAGGGCATAGAGTGCATAATCTCCAAGAATGAGAACCGGACAGACCTCAGCAGGCTCTCCAAGGAGAGCTTCCAGAAGTGTCGCGTGACCCCCATGGATTACATCATCGTCATCTTCTCCGGTGTAGCAGTCTTAGTGGCCGGCATTGTGGCCAGCTTCTTCCTGGCCACCACGGCCCACTGTTGTCAGCGCTGGAGTGAGACCAACAAGGGTGACAATGACGAGAACGATGCCTGAGATGGGGACACATCCGCAGAGTTGCCCCTGTCCTACCCACAGAACCTTCGACCCTGATGCAGAGGACTGGGTGAGGCTGTGAAAGAGGAACCCACAACATGTGAATCGCACCCGATGCACTGGGGGCTTTGTCTGCACAGACAGGTGTGTTCCATTTTGGGCAATTAGGTACGTGTAGAAGGAGACTACACAATGTAGAGAAGGTATTTAGGTTCCTTTGGCCGGTTTGAGATCTTTCACATTTTTTTTTTTTTTTAAAATAAACAATTTATCCAGGCCTTACCGCAAAAACTGCCAGGGAGAGATTACCTGAAATCCCAAAAACGTCCTGCGATTCCTCACAATTTAGCGATAGACAATGAAAAGTCATTGGAGCTCATCTATAAAGTAAGCACCAGCTTCTAAAGTAAGCCTGCAATCCAGAAACACTTCGCAGAATCATTTAGTGACATGCGAGTGTTTAGTGAGTTGGAAAATGCTGATAGTCAGAGACCAAGTGTGGTTTTCTAATAGGCATTGCAGGTGACTTTGTAGTGGAGGAAAAGTTTCCAAAGAGTGCCAGATTTTATAGTATATGTTTATCTTTATTTTCTTGACAAAACTACCTCTTCTTTTCTCCTTAAAAATGTTTAGTAAAAGTGATAATCTAATATAATTAGTCACAGATTAGAAATCTGTCCCATTAAAATGTGTCTAGAGTTTTTCATCGCATAAATTAAAAATACAAAATATCAAATTAAAAAGAAAAAAGTGTCTGTTCATTACTAAATGTACTGTAAAATCAATCATTTAAAGTATATGCTTAAAGCAGATATGCCTAAAACATCTGGTCCAATTTAGTGAGCGATTTCTTTGATGTGCAGAAATGTTTGACTGTTTAGTGTCATGCATTCATAAGATGAATCGAAACAATGCTTTTTGGCTACTTTCTGTGCTGTTATTTTATTAAGAAAACAATGGTGGCGATGGGGAGGAGGTGGGTTGTTAGGCTGCATCCTAATTCAGGCGCTGCATCTTTCAAAGGCGGCATTCGAAGACCTAATGTGTGACAGTGGTGTGACACGGCCATCCCTTGTTGGCTACAAATGCAGCCTAGACATGCTTTATTATTATACCGAGATCCCAGGATTCACTGCATGAACTGTATTGAAGGGTACAGCCAGGGTTCGAATTACAAAGTGGCTTTCGGGGGAGCCGTATTTACCGATCCTCCCTGACTGACTTTAACGCTTTTGGTGCATGTTCGGGCATTTAAAACAATAGGTTTACAGTAAACCTATTGTTTACTTAGTAAACCGTTTACTTCAAAACGCAAGCGTCAGTCAGTGTTCACTGACATGGTTTGATTTTTTTTATTATTTTTTTTATTTAACGTAATTTTGAAAAGACAGAAGCCAGCGTTTTTTCATTATTCTACATTAAGATTTCAGTGAGATATAAACTGAAATAGACGCGAAAAGTACGCTGTACAATGCACTCGAACCCAGAAGGTTAAAGCACGTGAGCAGAGCAATATTAGGACCATAAGACACAGGGACTATTTCCCCCCACTTCTGGGGGAAAAAAAGTGCGTCTTATGGTCCGAAAAATACGGTAATTTCAGTGCAGCGCCGCCACGCATGGATGGTCACAGCAGGAGACAGCGGAAAATAGTATTCGGAAATAGTAATGTAATGAGCGAATAAACACACAACATTGACACATTTTTAATATCATTTATTTCAGGAACCTTAATGTACAGAAAATCAAAATCTATATGCGACACAAAAAATGGAGAGTGTTTTAGAGCTCCCCCTAAATGTCTCAAAGTAGGCTTTCAGGGGAGCCCAGGTCCTTTTCAGGGGAGCCGAGCTCCCCTTAGCTCCCCCGTAATTCGAACCCTGGGTACAGCCTACAAAGGCTACACAGATATTATCCTTTGAAGGATGCAGCACCTGAATTTTTACACAGCCTTACAGTGGCTGGGTTTAGATGGGGATTTTTGGGGTTACACATGCTCCAGGAAGGGAATCGGCTTGGCCGAATATCTTTGGTTGGAAAAATGTCCTTTGTGTTGAGAACTTTGAGTTACTGAGTTTAACACTGTGTTCTGTGTCGTTTACTTGTGGTATTTCACATAGAAACCGTACCGACAGGTCTGGACTCCTAAATGACTTTGTTTATTCCTTCCAGAAAGAACAGAAGCAGCAGAGTCCTTGATTTCCAAAGAGTATGTTTGTTAGTTCTATTCTAAGGGGTCATCAGCAGCTAATGGTGTCTCTGTGACATTGATTCTCGCTTGGGTGTATCTGAAGCCCCACTGTCACATGACTGGCATCTAATCTGGCTTTATAGGAGGAGAAGGCCAAGCTCCAGTTCAGGATGACAGCTCTACATTTGTCAAAACTTCTTCATGTCTGTTTGAAGTCCCCAACTGACATACCATCTCACTACAGATTGGTCGGCAAGCCCCCAAAAATTAAGTTGTTCATAAATTATTTGCATTTAAAGAAAAACAAGGCACAAAACGTATAATAAATTCAGGTACATATATGTTGTTACTTACGCTGGTGGTGCAGCAGACCCATCATATATCTGTATCCATCATCTAAAGAGTTACAGTTCAGGTTGGCTTTCATTTCTTATTTTCACTGCTACTCTTGATTGATTTTCAATATGTCTCATATTTGCAGCATGTTCAACGGTATTACTGTACCTGACTTTTGGTCATGCATGTGCTACTTTAAATCCTTTTTTTGCACAACATTTTCAGATGGGGTGTGGATCCATGCGCATGAAACCGTGCTCTTGAAATGTTTCTTCTTCTTCCAAGATTAAAATTAGCAATATTTAAGGGTTAAAAAGTGATCCCGTTCACCTGAGTAAGGTGATCAGTCTGTTTCAGAGGTGGATAGTTCGGGTCCAGAAACGAAACAAAATCTTGGTCTGGATTTTTACCTTCTAGACCTGAACTATCCACCTCTGAGACAGACTGATTTTGAGGATTAAACTATAGCTTAATGTTCAGAAGAAACAGCAATGGTTAGCAGTTAGTCTGGTGACTATGTAGCAAGGCAGGAGTTCCAAGAAGGGTCTTGTCCTTGTGTAAAGGCTCGCTTTGGATGAAGTAGTCCGCTAATCTTATGACAGTAATGATAATCGTTATTCAAGGAAAGCTGGTGGTTAACAGCTAGAGTAGTAACAGGAGAAAGAAGGCTTTGTATAATCATTTCCCTTTGGGTAAAACCAGACAGCGATCCCACCCACTGTGGGTCTCAGAACCTCATTTTTTTCACAGCATGGAGTGAGGAGGGGCTGTTTTTTTTCACAATGTTTACAGTCTATTGCTTCTCTGATGCTCATGCTCAAAGCTGCTCTCAGTTTTCCATCCTATTGTACAGGTGGATATTTCATTGGAACAACTGAAACTAAGATTATAGGATTTCACTTAACTATTCCCCAAAACACTAAGCCACAATCCCCTTTCCACCACTCTTTCTTAATAAAAAAAAATCAAAATCAACTATTGAAAAAAAATCAATATAACATTCATCAGGTTTAGTGCTCTGCTAGAGAATGTTCTGAATGCTGGAATCAGCTTTGATGCTTCAGATGGCCAGATTAACAGAGAATCTACAAAACAACATAGTGACACATTAACATTGGAAGGCACTTTTTCCTGAAAACAAGGGGACTTAAGTGTGATTATACAGCTGCAAATCTGACAAGGAAAATAGATTTCTGTTCAGATCCAACTAAACAGCACACAAAGTCCTGAATTTAATCTCTGGATTATTGCTTTAGTGATTCTGGAACTAGTTCTTTGTAGAACCCGAATAAAGTATTTTATTTTTTATGTTAATAGTGAAATGCCATTTGCTGGAAAATGCTCTTAAAATCCTACGTGCAGTGCAATTTGCTAACCTTGCTCTCTGAAATAACTACATTTTGAGTATGTCCTGTATGTGAATATCATTTTACAATAATAATACTGTTGAAAGAAAAGTTATTAACCTTTTATACTTATATATTCCACTTTATACCAAAATAAAATTCTTTCTTGCTGAGGCAAATATATGTCCTAATAACTATGCTATGAACATAATGAACACTGTAAAATGGTGGTATACATGTATATGTATATGCATAGTTATAAAATTCAAAATGACAAAAATAAATTTTTTCAAGATATATCATTGTCTGTTGTGTTTCTGATAAAGGCAAACGGGAAATGTAAATGGATCATAACACGATATTTACATGGTACACAGTAACTCATTCTGCCACAAATACATTGTGAAACACTCTTAGTCATTTCACAGTTACTGTTACTATCACAGTAAACAGCCTGGTCCTAATCTCACAGTGTCTGAGTTACTCCTTTTTACTGTGACAAACAGTGTGAAATACTCATGTTTATTGCCCAGCAATTCAGTTACTCACTGTTACCAACATAAAGTATATAATACTCATGTTGTCTCCTTGCATCATGGTTACGGTTTACTGTTCACACACTGTTATACTCTCATAGGCATCTCACATTCTTTCAGTTACTCACTATTTCCGTCACAGTGTCAAACACTTGTGCTCATCCCACACTGACTCGGTTACTGTCATAAACAGTATTTAACACTCAGGCTGTCTCCTCGTTTCGTAGCTACAGTTTACTGTTCACACAGTGTTAAATACTCTCATAGGCATGTCACATTCTTTCAGATACTGACTACTACTGACACAATCAGTGCTAAACACCAGTGTTCATCTTATGGTGTTTCAGTTCCTGTTACATGACAAATACTGTGTAAAATACTTTTGCTATTGTGGTTAGTGTTACAAATGCACTGAAAAATATTTCCATGTTAACTGACTGTTACATTTACTCACCATTACTGTCAGAAATGCCAGGTCTGCCTTTGGTGTTTATGAGAAGAACAGATACCTGGAGTTAAATCCTGCCTCAACGTCCCTAGATCAGCCACAGCTGCAACACAAACTGATGTCATCTGTAACTATCCTGCAACAGAATGGGTTCCACTTTATGTCAAGTCTTCTGTTCTGGAAGTTCTGAAAAAAAGTAGATTCATCCACTCTGTCTGCATTCCCATTGACTGAAGAATAATTGCTGATACACAGTGGTTTAACAAGTAATGATATTAAGTCAAAATTGTCAAAAAGACATCAATTTGAATAACTGATGACATCAAAATGTGCCCAAATTATGACATCATCAAATAGCAAATGCTAAAGGCTAAAATAGTTTTCTAAAAATGTAATCTTAAGGGGCAGTGTATTCAGTGTGTTTCTGTAGAACATCAGCATCTGAACAATAGATAGTTGTGTTCTGTGAAGCAGTCTGACAGCAGAGAGTTTTACCTCAGGGGCACAAGGGAGAATACAAGAACAGACATAGCGGCAAGAATTATAATAGGACGGAACATCTCCCCAGCTAACGCTCACACAAAAAAGAGGATGGACCAGAGAGATATGTGTGTGGGTTTAAGGCTTTTTGCACTGAGAGGAAGGGAGTGATGATAACATAAGAATTCTGCGCGTGCGCTTTTTTGGCTCGTGATGTTCTTTAAACAGGGGGAAAATAACAACACAAGGATTCTCCTGTTGCCCGTTTACTTCTTGCTGTTGCCATGGTTACATGGCTGGGGGCCAGGCTGTGGAAGGTTGACACTAACACTGAGAGGGAGAGGCGAGTAGCTCACGGCACCACGATGCCGGCATCTTTTCTGCTTTCCCATCAACGGGAAATACCGTGCACAACGGGAGACCACGTCTGCCTGCAAATGCCACTGCAAAGAAGCCTGTATGTGTGTTATTGTATATACATTCATACATACATATAGATGTTCTTTTGTTTGATGTAGATTTATAATTGCCTGCTTTGCTCACACTGGTTTTTCCCTTTGGTTCTTCCCAGGAATCCATACAAAGCCTGTTTGGTCCAGTTTTCACAGCACAGAATATATTGCAGTTTGCATCCCTCTGCTCTCACTTTTCTTCTTTCAATCACACACACACACACACAAATGCACACAGAGCAGAATCCAGCTGGTGAGGAATTATTACAACAAGGGTAAATGTGTAAACGACGACCAGCTGATCAAGACGACGCGTAAAATGAAAACCTATATTTATTGCTACACTAAGTTCTATTGTTTAAGCTGTATACTGAAAACAGTAGCAGAGATAATTTAGAGGATATTTAGTATTGGGTGAAAGAGAATGGCAGGTTTTCTAGCAAAGAAGGACGGAACGGAAGAGGACTAAATTAGGACTACTGCTGCGTGTAGTAAAACCAGTTATATCACCAAAGTACAAAAAGATTGAATGACTTTGGCGATCTTTCTGCTTGTTTTTACAGCAGCAGATGGTGCTTGACTAACCAGGTCACAAGGGTACTTAAAAAGCAATGTATAAACATGCAAAATATTGCAAACTGGCTTATCACGTTAAAAAAAAAATCCCCATTTATAATGCTACACATCTATCCTACACCTACAGAGAATTCTACTCCTGGAATAAAGGTTATCATTGTGCCTCATCCAGCCCAGACATCTCTCCAGGCCTAGATCTGCAATGGGAAGCTCCACATGGACCTGCGATTGGTGGGACATGCAGCACTGTTCCATGTCGGTGACAGTTCATACTGCCTTTAGCAGGACACAGCACCTGGGGACTCCTGGAGTGGAAAAAGTGGGACAGTATAAATAAAGCAGTGGTCACTTGGCCAGGGGTACCAAACTGGGTAACAAACTGGGTAACAAATCCCAGAGAAGAACCACAAATGATGTTAGCGTGATGGGTGAAAGTGTCAGTGAAATTAATAGCTGATGACCAAGAACACCATCTCATATTAGCTAAAGCAGCATACACTAAATGGACAAAGGTATTGGGACACACCTCTTAATCACTGAGTTCAGGTGATTCATTCAGAACCATTGCCACAGGTATGTAAAACCAAGCACCCAGCCATGCAGTCAGGTTTACAAACATTTGTGAAAGAACGGGTCATTCTGAAGAGCTCAGTGAATTCAACTGAGATACTGTCATAGGAGGCCACCTTTGCAATACAGTAAGTCAGTTTGTGAAATTTCTTCCCTGCTACATATTCCATGGTCAACTGTAAGTGGTACTATTGCAGAGCGGAAGCGTATAGGAACAAATGAAAATTAGCCATGAAGTGTCAGACCATGTAAAGTATCAGAATGGTGTCACCTAGTGCTGAGGCACATAGTGCATAAAAGTCACCAACATCTGTTGCCTCAATATCTGCAGCATCTAAACTTCCTCTGGTGTTAAACCCCAGCATAAATACTGGGCACCAGAAGCTTCGTGGAATGAACTCCAATAGCCGAGCAGCTGCAAGCAAGCCTCACATGACCAAGCGCAGTGCCAAGCGTCGGACAGGGTGCTGCAAAGTGAGTTGCCACTGGAGCAGTGGAAACGTGTTCTGTGGAGTGACGAATCACAATCCGCTATCTGGCCAGTCTGATGGATGAGTCTGGGTTTGGCAGATCCCAGGAGAATCTGTCTGAGTGCATTCTGCCAGTTCAAAAGTTTGATGAAGGAGGGATAATGGTATGGGTTTGTTTTTCAGGGGTTGGGCTAGACCAACATCAGTGCCTGACCAGATAAATGTTCTTCTGGATGAATGAGCAAAGATTCCCACAAACACACTCCAAAATCTTGTGGACAGCCTTCCCAGAAGAGTGGCAGCTGTTACAGCTGCAAAGGGGGGGGGGGGGCAACTCCATATCGATGCTTATGGATTTAGAATGGGATGTCATAAAAGTTGCAGGTGACCTGGCCAAGTGTCCCAATACTTTTGTCAATGTAGTGTACATAAGCGCAGGTACAGTTACATACCATCCAAAAACGTATAAGTCCTTATTTTAGGATTCTTAACAAACAGGATATAAGGAAACACCTACAGCTACTACATTAAATCATGAGTTACACGCATCGTGAATCAAGCTGCACAACCACAATTAAACCAGGACCTAAAATATGACAGAATTCATACTGCCATTTGTTGATAAAGTATCCTTAGAGACGGCCACCAAAGTGTACGACGGTGCTGGGCTTCCTGTACCTGTCCTGCCTACAGCGACATTGGCAGGAAGCTGAATGGAGTGAAATAGGCAGTAATGCTACACCTCAATGGAGACAGAGAGCATGAATAATTTCACAGGGGGCCACAGAGGGGTTTGGGTGTGAAGAGACTTGGGTTTCTTGGTAACAGGAGCCATGTCCAGCACGGTGGATTGAGTGACCAGGCCCGCATCAGGCCTGTACCGGCAAGAAGGGTGCAAAGCGACAGGCGGCGGCTGACACTAATCCCAAATTTAGCAAATCCTGGAGACAAGGAAATCAAAGCCCTGGGTCATGGGATTAATCCGACATTGGTGTGATAACCCGTTAATCCTGAGCATGCTAATTTCACCGTGCAACCTGGAGTAAAGAAATTCCACACCAGATTCTACAAGCAGAATAAAGCCAGCAGATGTTCATACGTCTTTTATTTTACTAGTGAACTTCCCAGAGAGGAAAAGATTATTAAAAACCAGACTCATAATAAAAGCATAAAGGCTAGAAGATGGGTCATGAAGTGGAAGTAAGGGCAGGCGCCGTCCGAGGTGCTGGTGTTTGTTGGTCAACAACATGAGTACTGAATTTTTGATAGGTGGCCACTATCCAAGGTGCTCTAGGAGACGAAGAAGACAGCAGAGTGACAGCCGAACGCCACATTGGGACGTTAATTACATCTTGCAGCCATTAACTCGATATACAGTTGAAAGATGAATAAATGCATGCTTAATTGCGGTAAGAAAATTATTAGAAAATAATTATAACTATATTAAAGAAAGTATTTCTATATCAAGATAAAGGACATGGGCTTGTAATGTGACTGCAGTTTCCTATTGCAGTTGGTGCGTGGCTGGGTGGGCTAAGCCTCTGGACCCCCAGCTCCAGCCCAGCCTCAGTATGTCTGTGGGCCCTTGAGCGAGGCCCTTAACCCCCAGCTCCCTGGGGGCTGCTATGGGTGGCTGCCCTTCACTGCCAGCTTGCCGTCACCTTCAGAGAGCAAGTTGGTGGAGATGTAAAGAGAATTTCCCCATGGGGATCAATGAAGTATCAATCATTATTATTGTTATTTCCGTACGAACCCGGATGTTGAG